CCGCGGGACGGCGCGCGGGCGGCGGCGGGTGGGGGGCGCGCGGCCATGGAGCCGGCAAGCAGGGAGAATGGCCGGCCCTGTGAGTCGCAGGAGTCACCAAAGGAGCCGGGCCGCGCGTGGGGCGTCCCCCCGGAAAACGACCACTGCTGCTCCTGCTGCTGCACGCCAGCGGCGGACGGCGGTGCGCCGCGCGGGAGCGGCGCCAGGGCCGGCGCGCGGTGCTGCTCTGAGCCGGTGGCGCTATCACAAGAGATTACATATTGACTGTAGCCAGGCACCTCGTCAGCAGCGGCGGCAACGGCGGCGGAAGCAGCCGCGGCTGCGGCTGCAGCTGCGTAGCCGCCGCTGCTTCCGGCCCCGACGCCGCAGCTGCTGCCTCTAGCCTTCCCGCCGCCACTGATCAGGCGCCCTGAATGGAGCGCGGCAGCGGAGACGCCGTCCTCCAACCCCCCTGCCTGATGCGGCCGCTCGCGCTGGGCCGGCACGGGGCTCGAAAGTGCGAAATTCGTCTAGCGAGCGAGAGCGGGATGGCGAGAGTGACGACCGCGTGTCGCCGCGCAAATCCCATGTTTCCAGCTGGGCACAGGCGCCGACTGGCGCCTTGAGTGCAGCCTGGCACCCGCACGACCCTCACTTATTCCCCATCAGCGCCCGCGGCGCTGGAGCTGCCGCGCACACCCAGAAATTCAAGAAGGAAAGCAAGGCCGGTGGCGGTGCGTGCCGTCGTCGCACCTGTGCCCCGGCGTCCCCCTGCAGCATCCACTCGAGCTCCCGAGCCAACAGCCCGCACCCCGCGCCCCCGCCCGACTCACGGCCGGCAAAGCGGCGCCGCGCGCCGGCCAGCGCGTCGGCGGCCGCCGCTGCGTCGGGGGCCGGGTCGGCCGGAGGGTTGGGTGCCTACGTGCGCGGGTTGGTTTGGGTGGGGTGGGGTCAGGCGGGTTCGGATGCGTGGCGGCAGCAGCGACGGACAGCATAAGCAGGGCTTCATGCTGGGCGGTGCACCAAGTAAGCGACAGGGTGGGGCCCCGATCGACAAATCGCGAGCACCGCGCTCTCTTCCTTCTGACGCGCCGACAATGCGGGGGCCCGCTCCCAGGCGGCAGGCCACACCTGCTCCGGCGTCCCTGTGGGCGCTCTGCCGCCCGCCAGCACCAGGGGAGTGCCTGGTGAGCTCGGAGAGGCCCCGCTCGACGCAGGCCGCGTCTGCGGGCTGGGCGGCGGCGCGGCGACGGCCGCCAGGCGGCCCTGCGCGCCGAAGCGCGCGACGAGGGCGGCCTGGGCGGCGCTGCTGGCGCCCAGAAGGTCGGAGAACGACGCCGTCACGGCGATGGCGGGGACGTTTTGCTGCTGCAGCTGCAGCTGCTGCTGGCTCTGCTGCGGCTGCTGCTCCTGATGCGGCTGCTGCTGTTGCAGTCGCTGCTGCTCCTGCAGCTGCTGCTCTTGGAGCTGCAGCTCTTCTCGCAGCCGCTGCTCTTCCTGCAGCTGCTGCTGCTCCCTCAGCTGCTGCTGCTGCTGCTGCTGCTGCTGCTGCTGCTGCTGCTGCTGCTGCTGCTGTTGCAGCTGCTGCTGCCCTCGCAGCTGCTGCCACTCCTGCTGCTGCTGCGCCAGCTCAGTGGCCAGGCGCGACGGCGAAGCAGCGGTGCGCGCGAGCGCCTGGGCCACCGCGTCGGTCACCATTGACAGCTCTTGAGGGCTCAGCGGCGCCTCGCGCAGCGTGGGGCTGGAGAGCAGCGCCTCAGCGGCTTCGCGCCACTCGGCCGCTTGCTGCTGCACAGGGTGCGCTGGCATTTCCCCGACCGCTTGAGGCTTCAGCTCGCGATCCCTTCCGCCGCGCTTGTGGCCCGCCTGCGCGTTGAGGATCGCGCGCAACTTTGATTACTGTTGTCTCAAGTGCTGAATGGGTGCACACGCTCGCTCAGGTCCAAGCGCAAGGTCAACTCGCGCACAGTGGGCCTGTGTGCGTCGCGTGACAGCGAATGCCGATCCGCTGCCGAGCTGTCTCTGCAGGCCCTGACGATGAATAACCGTACTCACCGGGCTACCGAAGCATTGCATGAAGGGCTGCTCGCTTATCACGACGTGACGAGCGTACCCCGGCTCTCTACCACCGGGAACAAAGGTCAACGGTCCTCAAACGATATACATAGCATCCAAACATATTAAACGTTGGAATTTAGTGGTGAGGTGCTCCAGCAAGCCTGCCCCGGTTGGATCGGGCGATGGGGCGTGTGACGCTGAGGTACCGTATGCGTTATCGGTATATCTCTCTCTAAAGCGACCTAGAAGCCTTCGACTGGAAAGGGCGCAGGTCCAGCGATGTCCTCTGTGCACGAATCTGCCAGGGGTTTTCCCCTACCGCCTTGACTCGCCCTGTGCTCAACTCGCTCAATCCAAGTCTGGGCTCCTCCCTGTCCCCCTTGCTTGGAGCCTCTGTTGATTATCCTCATCAATCCTGAGGGAGCTGCATGGAGGCGGCAGACCCATGTACGCCTACACGCGTGCCAGACACTCTGTGCTGATGAGAGCAGCGAGTGCCACACCGATGCCTGCGAATCATTAGTACTGTTACCGGGTCAGAAGAGGTCAAAGCCTAACAGACTAGTGGAGCTGCCAGCGCATGGGCCGCGGCAAGCATGTGTGCGCGTGTTGCCAGGGAGCAAACTCCAGGGTGGCGGGGATGGGCTGCGCCGCCCTGCACGGCCGTGCATCATCAATCCAGTGGAGAGATAGAGGAACCTGGGGTGAGCTCCTACTCAATTTTGACCGCTGCGTAAATGATCCGGTTGAACCTGCAACAGGGGTAGAAATGAGGGCCAGGGGCAGGGGTGAGCAGGAGTGTGAGGGGGATAGTGAAGCCCTTGGTGTCGCTCCTGACAGGGCGAGCGACCTGCTAGCCCAACAAAACCGCCGAGCTGGCTGGTTCTTAGGCATCTGGCGGCCCTGCCCTCTCAGCTCACCACCAGCAGGCGTAGAAGCCAATAGTGCCTGTAAGGCAGAAGAACCCGTAAGATACCTGCAGAGGCAAACATGTGTGAGCGTGTTTGTGCGTGTGTGGGGGTCAGGGTCGCCATACCTGCATGCGGCGCAACCCGGGGG